TATTTATTACTACATCATCATGGTAACCTTTATAAATAATTTATTGAATAAACGGACTTTGTTTTATGGTCTATTTCTTTACATTAAATTAACTATAAAAAAAAACCCAAACCCCCATTGAAATCTTAAAACAACAACATATAACAACAACCATGTTATCATCTTAAATCCAGAAAAGCCAGGCTTTATCTCTTTCTATTTTACTTGAACTGAATTGCTGGTATTTTACCAAATCCCTTCAACTGAACAAAGTGGTCACCTTTCTTCCAGTTGCACAGAACCTGTGGGGAAAACATTTCTCCAAAGAAAACATTTTTAATCCAACCATCCCTCTCAATCCCCACATGTTCTCCAATCTTCATGATACTTGCTGCTCCTCCATTCTGCATCGATTCAAATGTCACCCACATTCTCCTTAGGGAACATTGCTGGGTCTTCAAAAAATAAATAACAACAACAACCCAATATAACCACAAACCTCTATATAATTTTCTCCTTACATTCCAAGCTGATTCCTCATTGCTCTTCCATTCCAGGACATTTTATATCCACCATTTCCTTTCCCCATCCTTGGCCCCCTTCTCCAATCCAAATTTCCATCAATATTTCATTGTACAATTCCTCATCAATTTAAGTTCTTGTCATATCACTTGCCAAATTGCTGAATCAGCATGTTCTTTCCAGGGTTGTGTCTTTGTCCTTATTCTATTAAACCAGATTTTGGCATGTAAAGAGTTAATCTTCCTCATCACAGCAACTCCTCTGATACCATGTGATAAAACTCTCATTTTACCCAAGCTATTTTCAATTAGAAGCTTCTTCCAGCCAAAATAGAATAACAGAATAAGAGAAGAGCAGGGCATTTCTGGAATCAAGTTAAAGGGTCATAGTTACAAAATTAAAACCTTTGCAGATGACTTGGAATGCTTTTTAGAAGACCTGTTAAAAAGTATTGAAAAACTGTTGGAAATACTACAAGACTTTGGTAAAGTTTCAGGATTCAATATAAACAAAGACAAATCTTCAATTCTAACCAAAACATACAAAGAGAAGAAGAGGAAGAATTAGAAAAGAAAACAAATTTCAAAGTAGAAAAGAAGGCAAAATATCTAGGGACATATCAAATGAAAAAGAATGCTGACCTATTTGAGAACAATTATAATAAGAAAAGAACTTGAAAAATGGACTAAGATGTCAATATCCTTATTGGGTAGGGTATCCATTATAAAAGTGAATGTTCTTCCAAGACTAACGCACCTCTTTCAGAACCTTCCCATTATAAACAATGAGAAATGCTTTGATGTATGGCAGAAAGAATTGACAAAATTCTTATGGGAAGGGAAGAAAGATAGAATTAAGTGGGTCTAATGATGGAAGCAAAAGAGAAAGGGGTGTGTGTAATTTTAAATTGTATTATTATGCATGCTGTCTAACATGGATAGAAGTTTGGGTAAAACTTATGGATGAAAGAGCATTGACTATAGATGGGAGTATGAACAGATTTGGATGACATGCATATGTGTGGTATGAAAAGCTAAATGAAAATAAAGCCTTCAAACACCATTATGCTAGGAGAGCACTACTCTTAAAGTATGGGCCAAGATCAAAAAGAACTTCTATAGAGTATTCCCCTGTGGGTTTCTGCTCAAGAAGCTTTCATATATAGGAGCAGAAACAGAGAAGCACAATGAATAAGGTATAAGGACATCTTAATACGGGGTGGTGGAGGGAATCAGAAGTACAAGTTAACATCTAAAGAACAACTAAGGGAGAAGGGAATAAATGCTAACTGGTTCTTGTACAAACAGATGATGGAAAGATTTAAAATGGACAATAAGAGACATGGAATTGAAATTGATGAAAATGAACTGGATAAAATACTTATTGATGAAGGGACACATCATATCTCAAAATACTGTAAAACTTTGATCACCAGAGATTTAGAACAGGAAACAATTAAACATGTTATGATTAAATGGGTACAAGATATTGGTACTAATATTGATTTGGAAAGTTGGGAAAAATCCTGGACTTATACAAACAAATTCACATTGTGTCAAAATTCTAAGGAAAATTATAAGAAAATGATGTATTGATGATATTTGTCACCAAACAGGTTAAATGCAATGTATAGAACAGGAAAGCTGAATTACTGGAAATGCGAGGATTTACAAGGAACTTTCTACCACATGTGGTGGAAATGCAAAACAACACAAAAATATTGGTGAAGTATTCATGAAGGAATGATAGAAATTTTACAGATAAAGATTCCATTTAGTCCAGAATTTTTCCTACTGAATATGATGCCTAAGATGAAAGAAAAGGAAGAAAAACAATATAGAGTAGTATTCTGCATGGTAAAAGTGGCTAGAATTGTCTTTGCCAAATATTGGAAAAATCAATTAATACTTTCTAAGGAGGATTGGTTAATCAAATTAAAAGAAGCAATAGATACAGATACATTAACAGCTCTATTACAGGAGAAGGCAATAGATAGAGTAGAAGAAGAGTGGCTTCTGGTAAAGGAATATTGGGCAAGGAAATGGACAGGTATGGTAAAAAATGAAGAATGAAACTTCTGGGTAAAATCAAGATGAAATAAGTTTAGAAGGGACACAATATAATAATTGGAAAATTGAAAAGAAATTATGTAGAAGAAAGTAGGAAAGAATAGATGTCTGAAATTAGAGATGCTTTGAAAGAGAAAGTCAGATATAGAATGAAATAGAATCATAGAATCATAGAATCATAGAGTTGGAAGAGA